GACATTGAGGGATTAACGATGGAAAGCGGAATGGAATTATCAAAGCCGGTAATAAATGATCGAATTTTGAAACGCAACTTCAGAGACGGGGGCGAACAATGATGATGCCGTACCGTTACCGAGAGGAGGCAGTCATACGGGTGTTACGAGAATAAATAACTGCAACCTACTTAAGCGCCTTCGTTACACGGCTGCTACTCGTACGCCAAAGAACTATCAATCTGAAACACGGGTGCGAACGTTGTGCCTCAAGTCGATCGAGTCAACAGACTTGTACAGTGTCTTGATGAAAGAGACGAAACTAGCTACTCGATATAATAGACCGTCATAACTGCGAAGCTTACGGCAATCGAAGCCTGATGCTATGAATCATCTTTAACTGCTTACTATCTCGTTGTTTTTACTTGCCTGCAGTCGCGAGTTATCTTTAATTGGTTGCGAGATACTGTTTTCGCCGAAATGTTTTTTTTTTGTACTAATTTATAATTTTTGCGCTCCGACAACTACGCTTTTGATTTTCACCGCTTTCTCTATTCATTGTTTATCTTTGAAGAACGACACTTTACAGTAGAAATATTGTTTCATTTTCAATTGTTGAAATTTTATAATTATATCATATATATGTGTTGCATTATTAAAACTAGACTCGGTTTCCTTTTAAACTTATAAAAATTAATCAAAACACGCGCGTGATGTAAACAAAATACAAACGTGTATCCAATCAGACTATGACTAATTGTAAGTTGAAGAAAAATAATATGAATATTACGGAAATAAATGCAGAAATTCAATGCAGTAATACGAAAATTATTCGAAAGTTATATTTATCTTCTCTGTCTTTCTTCTCTTCTAAAGATTGAATAAAACATATATTCAACATTTTGACGAATGCATAAGCACTTTGCATCTCAATGAAGGTCATAATGTAAAGTTGACATCAATATTATTTAATATTTATAAGTCATATTGTAAAGTACGATAAGCTTACCTTATAATTACAATAAAAAATAACGCATAACGCATGTTTATTTAACACACTATGTAGTACGAAATACTGATAACAAATTTTGAATAAAAATAAAATTAGAATAAGTCAGGTAACAAATATATAAATTCTTCATAATTCTCTGTTTTACAGAAAAATGAATGTATGTATATTCAGAAAAGATTCGTTAAGATGTGAACTGACCGTGAAACTCGGCTCGAACGACTGAAATGTAACTGACGCAAAGTTACGTCATAAACGTTATGAACGTACTGCAAAGTATAGAATCGTTATGTAAAGAATAGTAAAAATATTTCGAATTAGAATTGTCTTCGGATTAAAACTTATTTCGGGGTCCCATGTCCCTCTGCGCGTAATCAACCGACTTCCGTTAAAAACCTGCTGAACCATACCGGCACACGTGAAACCATCTGGCGGATACGACCGATGTAATTTACAATGTGGAGACCGCATGCACACGCATGGAGTTGTTCGGTGAATTCTATAACCTTTTTTAACGGCACTATGTATGGCTAATAAGTATGAATAATAAATAAACATTCCTATATTTGTATAATAAATTTCACGCAAAAGCGAAATATTCCTGAATAATGGTGATTACATCATGAGTTAAAATATGCATGTGTCAAAACTGTTATTTAACATTTCCATGCACTTTGTATCAAAGTCATTAAAAAATTAAAATGCAGTTAACGTTAAGTTTTCTAATTAATGTCAAATAATTTTTTATGTAAATTGAATCTATAAATATAATCTGTTGATTTAATTCCAAAGCAAAAATATTTTAAACAAGATTTTATACTGTTTATAAATGTATAAAAATATACATTTCTTTCATTTTCAAAATATAATATTAATAATATTAACTGGCAAATATCAATAAAATGTTACTTCGTGTATTTTTACTTCAGATATGGAATTAATAATGTGACCTTATAACAAAATATCAATATTAATTAATCCTACATGGCGCACCTTCTTTCGACATTCGAATCTGGGACACACAGCTTATTTGTGTCTAGACCTATTTTCGACAATGGTAAAGTGCTCAAAAAGAGAAGAAGATTCTAAACAAATTCACACATGCAGTTTAACATTTATAACGACAATACTTTTACAAAGTAAAAAAAAAAAGAAAGATTAAATATATAATTTCAATAAATTAATTCTTTGAAGTTCAAATAAATTTTTGTCCAAATAAGTCAATATTAATCACTTAAGTTATTTCGTCCTTATTTTACTATTCTCAGATTAAAATAAATTTAATAATCAATTTTTATTATTTTAAAAATCCATAAAAACTAGAGAAAACCAGATTATTAACAATTAATTATAATTGCAGAATTAAAGGATTTAGAAATTAAACAAATTGAAAATAGCACAGTCAAAAAAGGATGACCTGTTAGAGCTTTTTCGCGGAATGTCAAGTTCGTTATTGAACTGCTTATTGCCGCTGATTGATATCCTGCAATAATGCAACAGAACTGAAATCACGGTAATCTATAGTAGATCACGCGGATATCAGCGGGGAATCGAAGCTGCAGTCACGCGAAACAAAGGCGTGCCAATTCTTAACACAACTTTACGACTGTATGACCTGATCAAACCAAATGCTCCGTTTAATAAGAAAATCCGAAGTGAATCATCGTGCTGTTTGCTTCAGAGCATCTCATCTCATAAAGGTGCATGCGCATTCAAAACGTTATTTTCAGACAAGTTCGCAAAGTATCATAAAAATTTTATCTAAACAGTATCTTTGACACGAAATGGAAATTGCGACGTAATAAGTATATGAATTGATTATCGTTGATTAGCACTCGCGGTTGTGTAATTTAGATGTCAAGCCTCGACGGAGAGTATAAAAGATAGATGTTCGTTCCAGAAGTTAGAAGTTCAAGTATGAATCGTATATGAATGTGCACCGAACCGATGTGCAAAACATGCATCGTTGCGGGATACGGCGCATCGTTGGACACGTATAACAGTTAATCTTGTTATACGTAACGGATTGTATCAGAAATATCAAGTGATTATCGCATGATATTCATTCGACGTGTCAGCTTGGTGCAATCGCTTCGTTTAACATATTGGATCATTTATAAGTTTACCTGTTGACCAGGTTGTCTCATTTTAAGATAAAAAATGGAATGTATATTAGTGCTGTTAACGTTTAGACATCCGGGAATATCTCTGAGAAATATTTTAAAATTTATAACTTACATAACTTATCTTAAACATGTCGAAAATGGAAACTTTTTGAGTGAGAAATATTTTCTTTTTTAATTATAAAATTTCCTTCAAAATATTTAGAAAAAAAGATATTTCTCAATCAAACATTTTATTTTCGAGATATTTAAGATAAGATGTATAAGTTATATGTTAAAATAATGTTAAGTTTGAGATATAAGTAGCGAAAAGAATTCGCAGTTCTAAAACCATCTTGCTATCTTATATTAGAATATCCTAGTTGCAATTTTTTAGAAGATAAGAAAATGTAAACGTGACGCTTAAAATAATCAACCTCATAACTTGCTATAGTATTAGAAAATAAAGAAATGTAATACCAATCGATATCTACAAAATTTATCTAAGAAATTTTATAGCGATACTTTTTAAGAAACCTGATATATTGGCGAGAGTGTTTCTGTCTATGTCAATATATATAAAGATCCTCAGAATTACTCCTTCAGCTACTTCAGAATATTTTCAACAATATAGAGTCTATTTCTTAGCCAAATTTAGTTTAAAAGTTTTTTGCCATTACTTATTTCGTTCAATTTGATATACCTTTATAATATTCAAATAAAAACTCTAAATCGTAGAATGAATTAAAGCTCGAATTGTTAAAATTTTTAAAAGCGCAGTCCTAGACTTTCTTAACACATTAATTTTGAATATGTCGTATTGACATTAAAATAAAATATACATTTACATGTTTAAAGAATTATGAGTCATCGATAGAAGTGAAATTATCTCAAACAGGTGAGATAGTGATGAACATAACCGTTAATTCAATGTATACACGAATGTTTGAATTCAACAAAGCTGGTCGAATTCAACGCGTTAATACAGCATGACTACAGTACGCTGACAAATCCAGTGATGACGAAAAGCGAACGGCCGGCAAGAGCACGTTGCAGACCTCACGCGCGGCTGACGTGCCGCGTGAGAGGCCGCGACATCGGTCCGATCCGCGCGTACGGCGGTGCAATAAGCACACTTCGTGAGCGCGTAGGTGTAAACGTGAATCAACCGGTATTAAATTCGAGAATGATCGCGGCATAGCTGCGATAACGCGTGAGGCGGGAAAAGATAGCGAAATCGCGAAGCTAAGACAAACGGAGACAGATAACGGTAATCTCAAGCAGTCGGTAGGAACGTTGTTGCGGCGACGCGAATTGCAAGGCCGTCAGCGCGTGACCTTAATGAGTAATCAGCCCGGCGGCGCGGGCTCGAGAATTATTCACATAGTATGCGATTACGTTCGGCCGGCCGGAGTCGGCCCGATTCGGCTAACCGATTCGATCGATCAACAGATCGACCGAACGACCGTGAAGTTGTGTGCTGTCAAACGCGTGTTGGCTGGAACGTCTGATAAGCGACGACGAGAGCAAACGGACGACAGCGATGACAGCCACCGCGGACGGATGGTGCGACTTCGCTGAGGTATCGCGAGCTTCGCCGGAATCTCCGGACGATTGTACATGGCAAATTTCGCAGAAAAACCGGGTTCGCGAGCGCGATTTCTCCACGGACAGTTTTCAGGCGCTTCGTACGCGCGGTTCTCGGTCGCAGCGACGTGCAGCTGCGATAATGCGCGCCGCGTGTCTCACGGCAATTACGGAACGCGACGCGCCGTCGCGGTGATGTACGCGACCTGGCGACATCGGACGCTCGCGACGCGATGGAATCGTAGCAAGTAAGGGGCGCAACACGCCGACAAATACCTCGTTTCTCGACGAGCTCCGAAATCTCCTCCCTGTTGTCAGCCATCTTAGCACCAGTCACTGTCCCACAATGCACGCTGGGTAAAAACAAACGAGCCGTCGCCGCGCTGCGGCGCCCCGATACGCCACAGCAGTGCCACCTGCAGTGTCACGATGGAGACATCTGCGTCAGCTGCTCGCACAGGGATGTATCTGCTTAACATTTCGTGTTACGGTACACGTGGCACGTATATTGTTCAGTAACGGCATTGTAACTTTCGTATTGTCTGATTGTTATCTATTTTTCACAAACCTTTTGATATTCTAAGTTTTAACCTTTCTCGCTACCCTTATTTGTATCCAGTTTATTTTAAGTTCTCGTGCAGTATTCTATGCAATTTAATGTATTCCTGTAAATTAAATAACACAGCATTTGTATTATTATAGAAGCTTCAACAATATCTCATTTTTATTTCTTTCAGAATATAGATTTCACGGTTTTAATAAATGAATAAATAATTTCAAACATAATAGCAACAGTTACAGAGTCTGCTTGTCCTTATTTTTAGAAAAAAATTTTATGCTATTTGTTAAATTAATTTAACATATGAGCTACTCAGAAGCCGAATTGATTAACTCCACTTTTTACAATTTTCACAATTTTAGTATCAAATCTTGATTGGTGCTAAACTTTTCATAAATAAAAAAATTGATGGAGTTTTGCTTAAGTTAGTCAATTTGACTTTTGAGCGGCTCACATATCTTATCAAACATATTTTTAGTTAAAAATTAAAAATTTGTGTCATAGCCTCGATAAACATATGCCACGAAATTAATGTAACCATTAATAAAAAATAATCATACTAACAATCACAAATAAAAAATAATCATTTTCTTGTACATTTACCATATGACATCACGTCACAGATTTGCATCATTCCCTATTAATATATATCCATTTTATATCGTTTTCAGTTTTCTTACATCGTCCATTGAATAGATTTAAAAAATATATATTATAGAACATATGTTCTTTCGAAAATGTCCAAAATTCATAAAATAACCTCAGAAATGATCGCTAACTCCGCCCTTTTAATTCTCTCTTATTCCTCTTCCGCGCAAGTACACATTCGGCATTCAGCATGACACACTTTCACAATACAGCCGCTCCTGACGCATGTCAGCAGCGCTAATATATTTCCGTTAAATAATCCGGTGGCGGCAGTCAGCGCAAGTCAGCGGTGGTCTTCGTGTGTATTTTTGTGGATTTCGTTGCTCTTACTCGCAGTTTGTAAAAATGAGTAGTTCCAATGTAGTGATTGTCTCAGCAGTCAGGACACCCTTAGGTAATAAAGGATAACACACAGAACTTGCCAATAAAATTATGTACAGTAGCTTGTATTTTTAAGTGAAAGTTTTTTGTGAAAGTTTAAACAATTAAAGAATTTATATTATACAAGTCAGATAACCAGCTAATTTTGAAAAACTTTATAAGCCTTATGCAAATATTTCATGTATTTATCCAGGTTATATATTTTAAATATATAATACAGAAATAGGTTTACATATACTTATATAAAATACTGTATTATAATTGTGGAATGATAGTAATTATCTAAAAAGATATTAACCATAAAAATTAAATTACATGAAAGAAAAAATAAATATTTTGTTTATATTAAAGTATATTCATATAATAATGTTATATATACAAATAATAATATTTATATATATAAAAATAATTATATAAAATAGTTATATGAAACTTGTATATTTTATAACAATCATATTTCATTCTTTAGGATCACTATGTGGATCCTTATCCTCATTGAAAGCGTCAGAGCTGGGAAGTATTGCTATTAAAGAAAGTTTGGCAAGAATTGGACTGAAAGGAACAGATGTTTCCGAAGTTATAATGGGTCAAGTATGTCACCTTACATTTGTATAAAAAAATTAATAAAGTATTAGATTATACATATTTCCAAGTAAGATTAAATTTATGTACATGTAAAATACACATTTTTATTCATTATGTGTTTTTTCAGGTTCTTGCTGCAGGAGAAGGTCAGAATCCTGCAAGACAAGCAGCGATAAATGCAAACATACCTATTCATGTGCCTGCTTATCAAGTAAACATGTTATGTGGCTCTGGTCTAAAGTATGCACAAAAAATATGTTGTATAATGTTGCAATAAACTATACAGTATTCTGAATATGCAAGATTATAATTCATATATGTTACAGATCTGTTATAACTGGTTATTCTTCTATAAAATCAGGGGAAAATGATATAGTTGTGGCTGGTGGTCAAGAAAGTATGAGTAGAACGCCGCATGCAACTTATCTTAGGACTGGTGTAAAAATTGGAAACTGTAATTTAATTGACACCCTTCTAGAAGATGGTTTAACGGATGCCTTCTATAATATTCACATGGCAATAACAGGTAAGACAAAATAATTGCAATTCAATCTAATTATGCAAAATTTAAGATTTAAAATCTAAATCAATATTATTATACCTTTCTATTGCTATTTGCTTTATGACAGCTGAGAATCTTGCTAAAAAGTATGCAATAAGTAGGGAAGCACAGGATGACTATGCAAGTAAATCTCAGCAAAAAACAGAGACTGCTATTACTGCTGGTCACTTCGACAAGGAAATAGTTCCAGTAGTCATTTCAGGCAAGAAAGAATCTATCACTGTATCTAAGGATGAATTTCCAAAATTTGGAACAACTGCGGAGAAACTTGCAAAGTTAAAACCAGCATTTCTGTCGGTACGCATATATTTTTTATAAAATTTTACAAAACAATTTTGTAAAAGTTTATATAAAATAAAACATATATACATGTTACATTTAGAATGGCACGGTTACTGCTGGAAATGCATCTGGTATAAATGACGGTGCAGCGGCTGTAGTTCTCATGTCTGAAGAAACAGCTGTAACTAAAGGACTTTTACCATTAGCCAATATTGTTGCGGTTGCACAGGTTGGAGTTGATCCTCAGATTATGGGCATTGGACCTGTTGAAGCTGTTAAATTAGTCGTTAGTATATTGTATTTTTTTAGTTCTGAACTAGTTTTATACTATCATAATGCAATGTGATTTTATGATTAAAAATATCCGTTTATTTTAGTTGAAAAAAGCAAACTGGACAAAGGAGGAAGTGGACTTTTACGAGTTAAATGAGGCCTTCGCAGCGCAAGCAATTGCGTGTGTTCAAGAACTCGGATTAAATAGCGAGAAAGTTAATGTAAATGGTGGTGCTATTGCTCTCGGTCATCCGATTGGCATGTCTGGTATGCATGTGTGAATTAATGCCTAAACTTTCTCCAAAATGAAATTTCTATCTTATGATACAACTTTGTGTTTTAGGAACAAGAATACTGGTCACTTTATTACATACTTTAGAGAGAACTGGAAAGAAAAAGGGTGTCGCATCTTTGTGCATTGGAGGAGGAATGGGTATCGCTATTGCTATTGAAAGAAAATAACGAATATCTTGCCTATATATGAAAAATTTGTTATATTTTTATCAAAATATTTAATTGTAAAAATATTTCTGGTGTGCTGTAAATTGAATATTTAATAATGTGAACAAATATTTACAGCCTTCCTAAGCTGTAAATAATTTGTATAACAATTTGTAACGCCAAGTATTGCCTATATTGTAAACATATAACGTAATAACGAGTAATTTATTGACGAATCTGTTTTTAGGGGTAAAAGGCAAAGGGTTAAATGCTTTTATAACAT